TACGCCTTGCCCTGCACCGCTTCCATGCGCTGCTCCAGGGTCAACACGTACTTGTCCGTTCGGACAATACCGCGACAGTAGCGTACATCAACCATCAGGGTGGTCTACGCTCTCGCCGTATGTCGCAACTCGCACGCCACCTCCTCTTATGGAGTCAGAAGCACCTGAGGTCCCTTCGTGCTATTTACATTCCAGGAGAGCGGAACCTTGCAGCCGACGAGCTGTCACGGCTCCGGCCAACCTCTGGCGAATGGCGACTCCATCCCCAGCGGCCAGCTGATATGGGACCAGTTCGGGGACGCACAGAGATATCTGTTTGCCTCCCATGACTCATCCCATTGCGCCCTGTATTACTCCCTGTCCGAGGGCACGCTCGGCACGGATGCAATGGCGCACAGCTGGCCGCAGGGCCTACGCAAATATGCGTTTCCCCCAGTGAGCCTTCTCGCACGGACTCTGTGCAAGATCAAGGAGGACGAGGAGCAGGTCATATTGGTCGCCCCATACTGGCCCACCAAGACCTGGTTCTCCGAACTGATACTCCTCGCGACAGCACCTCCTTGGCCAATTCCTCTGAGGAAGGACCTCCTTTCTCAGAGACGGGGCACCCTATGGCACCCTCGTCCCGATCTTTGGAGACTCCACGTGTGGCTCCTGGACGGGATGAGGCAGGTTTGAGTACCCTGCCACCTGCGGTGGCGGCTACCATCACTTCCGCTAGAGCGTTGTCCACGAGACACGTCTACGCGTTGAAGTGGAATCTCTTCGTCAACTGGTGCTCTTCTCGGCGAGAAGACCCCAGGAGATGCTCGATCGGTGTCGTGCTTTCCTTTCTGCAAGACGGGCTGGAGCGAAGGCTGTCTCCCTCCACCCTGAAGGTGTATGTGGCCGCTATCGCCGCTTATCACAATGCAGTTGAAGGTAAGTCTCTGGGAAAGCACGACCTGATCATCAGGTTCCTGAGAGGAGCGAGGAGACTGAATCCTCCTCGCCCTCCTCTTGTACCCTCTTGGGACCTCTCAGTGGTCTTATATGCCCTGCAGAGGGCTCCCTTTGAGCCTCTGCAATCAGTGGAGATTAAGTTGCTGTCAATGAAGACAGCGCTCCTGGTTGCACTGGCCTCCATCAAGAGGGTGGGGGATCTGCACGCACTCTCCGTTGACGAAGCGTGCCTGGAATTCGGGCCGGCCTGCTCTCACGTGATCCTGAGAACCCGGCCTGGATATGTGCCCAAGGTTCCCACCACTCCCTTCCGGGACCAGGTGGTGAACCTGCAAGCGCTGCCCCTGGAGGAGGCAGACCCAGCCTTGGCACTGCTCTGTCCAGTACGCGCCCTCCGTGCTTATGTAGACAGGACGCAGTGTTTCAGGACCTCAGACCAGCTCTTTGTCTGTTATGGTGGAAAGCTGAAGGGAAAGGCTCTCTCCAAGCAAAGGTTATCCCACTGGATAGTGGACGCCATTGCTTTGGCATACCAGCAGCAAGGTCGACCGTGCCCCCTTGGTGTGATCGCCCACTCCACCCGGAGTGTGGCGTCCTCTTGGGCTTTAGCGCGTGGCGCCTCGCTAACAGACATCTGCAGAGCTGCAGGCTGGGCGACACCCAACACATTCGCCAGATTTTACAATCTCCGAGTGGAGCCAGTCTCCGCCCATGTACTGTCTTTTTCAAGCTAACATGGGAGCCGTTAGGTGTCTCGCTTGCTCGCCATTCCAATCCACGGACTGGATACGTGCGATATTTCCTCAGGTAGCCTTCCTCTCTGAAGCCCTGAGTTCCTCCAGCACTGTTGACGCTGGCGCCAGTGTCTATTGCCTGTGCGTTGGCTAGGTGCCTCCGTGTGCATGGTTCCTCCTCTGAGTAACCCCCACATGTGTATTTCCACTGTAAGCCTCTTTGAGCATGTGTCTTTCCCTCGGCAAGCCACCTTGCCACTCCTGGAGTTGAAAGTTGCCACCCCACGGGCTGGTCACTCCAGTGTTCCTCCATATGAAGCCCCCTCGGCCATATGTGTATTCTTAAGTCCTCCCTATGGGTAGGCATGCTGCGACATATCTCCCCTGAGATATGCTTCCCAGTGTACCTTGGTATTCCTGTGTTAAGTAGGACTCCTTCGTCCGTGCCTATATCACGACAGGGAGGTCAGACTTCGCAGGGCACTGGAAGACAGCTGTGAAGGTGGCGTGATTACACGGGGACCCCCATTCTCCGTCATCCGACGTAACTCGGAGTGACTACGAAAGGGAACGTCTCGGTTACGGATGTAACCCTCGTTCCCTGAGTAGGGAACGGAGATGTTACGTCTCCCTGCCACTTCCGCTGTACCGCTGGGTAGACACCTGAGTTCAGTCTCGGCTCCTCAGCGAAGACATGATCTGCTGTTGCAGGTGTCTCTCCTTAAATACCCACGCGGTGGGGCGGAGATACATTATGCAAATTCCGCAGACCCACGGCATTTCATTGCCATAGGCTCGTTTTTTAATACTCGAAGATGATAGGCTTTCTGGCGAAACCCCCATTCTCCGTCATCCGACGTAACGTCTCCGTTCCCTACTCAGGGAACGAGGGTTACATCCGTAACCGAGACGTTCAGCTCAGTGTTCTGATAGTTGGTTACAATTACATTAAATGCATGCATACACTGGAAATTGATTGAGTCTAATTTAGGGGAGCATTTATTATTACATTGACCAAATCCATAATTCACTGCCTTCTTGAATACCACAGTGTTTACATTCATTATGGCCACTCAACTGTGAACATGATTCATGGCAAATCTACTCTAATGCTCTAACAAGGGCTCCACATAAATGCTAAATTACATGCTACACAGTATCATAAATAACCTCATAAACATGTCATTGCTATTTTTCATTTGTATTCAAATAAAAGATGCTGTATGTTGTGTTTCTAACCAAGCAAACTGATTAATTGTCATGATGGAAACAATTTGGATGGTTATCCAGCTCTACACATCCCAGTACTCTATTCAGTGCTGATTTGTGCAGTGTTTATTGGGAGAGTCTGTATTTGATCGGTCATAAAGGCTTCTTTATTTAAGGGTCCCACCAGCCCCTTCTTTCATGTCTTTTAAAGTTTGTTTGTTGTGGTTGTGTTAGCTTACAGAATGTTTTTTTTTTTTTAAAGCTGCCATTAAAAATTACTTATGTGAACATGTGTGTACGTTTGAGTGTGCAGGGGACACCAGATCCTTCTGTCACAAGGGCTCCAGATGGTACAAGGAAAAAGCCTTGCTTTAATCTCACTCCCAGGATAAAATGCTCTCACACACACACACACACACACACACACACACAATACTTTAAACTTGTTTAAATGCACATTAAACTGACTGCTTTTGTTACATTCTCTGTTTGCTTCATTAAACATTTGGTGTCTTTTATGCTTTACGTTTCAGCTGGTTAATGTACTTGAGTTCTTCATCATTCATCACCGCACTATGTCTCTTTACTTCCCCAGCCTGTTTAATTGTCTCTCAGTAGTGTAACAATTTTCTATTTTCAGCTGTGCGCTTTATAAACTGAGTCTCAACGTGTGCCTTCATGTGCACATGTGTGAACAATTGGAAACCACACGCCACTTGTTTACTGTTTGGCTTTCATCTTTTATGTGCATTAGAAATAGAGAGAATTAATTGCTGGTGCGTCTCTGGGGATTTACTTTTCTTTTGTTTTGCTACAAATGCTGGATTAATGTTCTCTCATGCTCTCTCTTCACACGCATACCTTCTGCTCAGTGTTTTTATCATCCAGAATACATTTGTCTTAATTGTTCTACAGTCATAATATCATACATAATACAGTTTTATGGTTTCACTTCTAAGGTAAAATGTATATTTTGCATCCAGATTAAATTAAGCCTATTTATTTAGTTATCAATCATTGTGGCTTTTTTTTTTTGTCGACTTTTTATAAGTTAAATATTTTTGTTTAATTAAATTAAGTCTATTTTGTTTTTATTTTTCATTATGACATTATTTTAAGCTTTCAACTTCATCTAATTGATATAATTTCTTATAATAAATTGAATTATTTATTTATTTTGTATTGTGAAGTTATAATAAGCTTTCAATTTGGTATAATTTGCAGAGGGCCTTTTTCTATTACGTCAGGACAATTCTCTATGCCCTAAGCGAGATTCATGTCAAAATCATTTGAGTCTTGTGTTAAAGAACTGGCCTGCACAAAAGCCAGACTTGAAAACACCTTTGGGATGAAATGGCATTCATATCTAAATGGGATCAAATCCTCACAACCATGTTCAACATCAACAAGTACATACGAGTGTGCTGTTTCTGGTGGCCACATGTAGTGATCCAGACATGTTCTTGACTGGTTTAGTGTCATTTTAGTATTCTTCCTGTTCTTTTATTTAGCCTACCCACAAGTTTCTCTGAATGTCTATTCCCCTTATTTTCCATCTGTATCGAGATCATCGTGAAAGTACTTAAAAATTATTTTTTCTTTTTAGTTACTGGAATGTAGATTCCAGTATTATGTGACATCTGTTCATGTCTCCATTTCAGAAAAAATATTTTTCAGGCCGTTTGTTGTTTTTGAATGTTTGCAGTCCATAAATGCTAGTTAACCACTTATAGGTCCTCAGTGCATCGTAGGAAAGATAGTTTTATAGGCTGCACAGCCGCTGCAGGGTTTAGAATAATGTTTTATTTTATAAAAAATATAGTGGACTATTTTATTTGATGTTTTATTTTATGTGACAGCAGTCGTCCGCGGGGGTGCTGTCTTTTACTTTCGTTTTGTATTTGTTTTATTTATGGTATTAAAGTTTGTTGAATGTTCGCCAGTTCCCGCCTCCTCCTTCCCACAACATCTAACCTTGTTACAAATAAGAATGTTTCTTGAGCACCAAATCAGCATATATGAATGATTTCTGAAGGATCGTGTGACACTTAAGACTATACTTTATGCATAATAGTGAGAATAAAACTTATAAATATTTCTTATGTTGTCTTTCAGATAAAGCTGGCAACCCCAGCTGCTTTCCCTCCAAACAATCTGATGAAGAGGAACCTTGTGTTGGGGTGAAAATCGCTCAGAACAAAGGTGGGCAATATCCCTCCCTTCCTTTCCTTCTTATTCTGTCTCTTCCTTTCTCTGTGCATTAAGGCTTGGACCCATGGGAGTCTGCCATTTTTGTCAGAATGAATCTTTCCTAATAAACCTGCAGCTGCGAGCTGTTGTATTTATGATCTGTTGTAAGAGATAACAGATACATTTACATGTTATGTAGTAGTTTTAAGTGTTATGGAAATGAATGGGCATGACTGAACATGCACTGGGGTCAATGGGCCGCCTCAGTTTTTTTCTTCTGTTTCTTTTGATTAATGGAAAGAGGTTAACATGTTAACATGTAGATGACTTTGGAGAATTTTGCAGTTAATTCAGTCCATATTTGATGTTTAATGTACAAATTGTGGTGCAGAATGACTGTACCAATGAGCTTATACGGTGGGTTGCCAAGCATGTCACCACATAAATAGAAACCATGCCATCTACAAAATAACTTTTTGCTTGTTGCTTCTCTGTGTTAAGGGCAAAAACTCAGATTGTTATGCAAGAAATATAGAGTGGTACATGGATGACATATTTTTGTAGACCAAGCCAAAAGATAGCATCACCCTGGTTCCCTCAACAAAAACCCAATAGGTTTTTCTGAGGAAAGAAACTTTTCGTGTGCCTGGCTGTTCTGGTGCTCAGTGCTCTGTAGCGCCGGCCAGACGGCAACAGTTCAAAGAGGAAGTGGCCTGGGTTTGAGGGGTCAAGATTGATTTTACCTACCCTTTTAGGCAAAAAAAGGGGGAGGGGGGGGCGGGGTTAGGAGATTTTAGGTTTAGGAGATTTTAGGTTCTTCTAAAATCCACAATCATCTCCACTGTTTTTAATGTGTTCAGCTCCAGGTTGTTATCACTGCACCAGACAGCCAGTTCTTTAAAGCTGCAGTCCGCATTTTTTCCTCTTTGTCGCCATCTCTGTTCGAAATCTGCAATTGCAGTCATTCGCGGAATTATCAACTTTACGTGAGTTGTAGTTCGACACCGCACAGCGCGGATGAACACATTGAGGAGAGTGTGCAGCTGTCAGTCACCGCGCCGGTGTGGATACTGTCATCATTCTCTGCTGGCACAGAATCACAGATTATTCTTTTTGGAAGTATGACCAACATAATAATTTTCACCGGAAAATGTCATCTGAACAAGTAAGTAACATTCACTTTTGTTCTGGTTCTGACATTGCAGTAAATCGCGCTGATTAAATCTAAAACGCTTATCATCACGCAAAACCGTGCAAATTATACTTTGTTCTCAACTTGTTAATGTTAACAACGTCAGCATTGCGCGACTACATGTAATGTCCTTCCGAAATGTATCCTTGTTTTCGCATGGGCCGGTTGCAGTCTCTTTTTTTCTGTAGCTACTCCGAAGTCCGAACAAAGTATTTTGCATTTTGCATTTTACATCAGTTGTCACTGGTGATTGTCGTTTGAACCTTTCTGGATCCGCCATCAAATTGATAAGTTTAATTATATCAAGTGCTGTGAGAAAAGGTTATAAATCAATATAGCCTACTAGCCGAGACTCCTTCTTTATGTGTACAGATGTGACGTAATGACGCAAAGACAGGCTCGAATCTCCCGCGGAAATCCACCAGTACCACTGGAATTAAAGACATTATTACAAGCTTACCGTTTTGAATCGAGCTAAGCCAAGCAGAGAGTTTTGAACACTGGCTGGTTATGTATTTTCTCAAATATGTATTTTGGATAATTTTTAACCCAAAAAAAGCTACGGACTGCAGCTTTAACCTCCTGTCTGTAAGCAGACTCGTCACCATTCTGGATGAGGTTGATTAGTGTGGTCAAGTCAAGTCATCTTCATTTATATAGCGCATTTAACAATGGATTGTTTCAAAGCAGCTTTACAGAGATAAACATATAATTTAAGGTAACAGATTGTTTTGGCGTTATAGCAGTTCTTGAATAATGTTACTTCCAGCTAAAGTTAATGGTGTCATCTGCAACCTTCAGGAGTTTGACAAAGGGGTATTTTGCAGTACAGTTTTTAGTGTACATGGAGAAGAGTAGTGGGGAGAGCACATATCCCTGGGGGGCGCCAGTGCTGATTGTGCGGGTTTTGGATGTGAATTTGTCCGGCCTCACTAGCTGCTGCCTGTCTGTCAGGAAGTTGGTGATTCACTGACAGATGGAGGAGGGTACAGAGAGCTGGGTTAATGTGGACAGGAGGAGGTTTGGAATGATGGTGTTGAAGGCCGAGCTGAAGTCCACAAACAGGATCCTCACAAAAGTCCCTGGTTTGTCCAGGTGTTGCAGGATGTAATGCAGTCCCTTGTTGACTGCATCATCCACAGACCTGTTTGCTTGATTGAAACTGCAGGGGGTCCAGCAAGGGTCCAGTAATGTCCTTCAGGTATGCCAACACCAGTCTCTCAAATGACTTCATGACCACAGACATTAAGGCAAACAGGTCAGTAGTCATTCATTCCTATGATTTTGGGTTTCTTTGGGATGGGGATGATACTAGTGGAGCATTTGAAGCAGAATTGGGTTGCTGGAGGTGTTGATGGATGCATGGGGAGATGGTCAGGGGTGTGAAGACAGGGTTTTTCAAACTTGCAATAAAACTCATTCAAGTCGTCGGCCAGTTGTTGATTCGATAAAGTGCTGGGGTATGGTGTCTTGTAATTGGTGATGTTTTTCAGGCCTTTCCAAACTGATGCAAAGCTTATGATTCTTACACGTTTTGTTTATTGTAAAAAAAAACTTTTATTAATTTTGAATCATGAATACAATCGTCAGAATTCAAAAGCAAAATGTGGAAATTCAGAAGCGAAGACCAGGAGACTTGGTTGTATCTCCTTCAGCAGGATTCTTTATTGAGAATGTGCTGTTTCGTAGCTGCAGTCATCAAGTCCCACTAAGGCAGTCATACATTGTAGTTTATATAGATTTTAGGAGGCAGTGACAAAACACCTGGGTGACGACCTTAAACAAAGCATGCAAAAGAAGTATCCAGATATAGGAACCCACCCCAGACTCTAGAGTATCACCAGTCCTGATCCAGTCAGCATAACTATTCAAAGAATGGGACAGGAGCTCCAAGGGCCATTAAAGACAATAGGTGAGAGTCTCCGTAATCTTGCTCATTTGACTTACAATAAAGAGAACAGGAACTGACAGAAAACTCTTGCTGGAAACTATGCTTAACAGAATCATTCATCTGATATCATCATCTTAACCTTAAATGCTAAATAGTAAATACAATGTACTCCACCATAGTTTTTCATGTGATGTTACTATAAACGAACTACACCACGTTCGCATTACTTCAACGTCGCCACTACTAAGCTTCCGACAACCCTTTCAGTCTTTGTTTAAATTTTTCCCTGAAAGTTCGAGTAATAATAGTTTGCAAGAGCGTGATAAACACAACGAGGCTGTGAAAGCGGACTAGAGAGTAGATGAGTTTGCCTGTTTGGAGTGATGTTTAATGTTACAAACTCTGTAGTCCCATTTAGCCACTTGTTAGCAACCGCATTTGGATAAAAGTGCTCGATGAATAAATATACCTGTAATTTCAAATACAGGATTACATATTCCGTCATATTACATTGTGATGTGAGTGTCTGTAGCTCCATGTGTAATCAAATGCTATGTTTTACCTTCACAAAGTTTGTTTTCATTTGACACATCAGTATTAACCGGAGAAGTTTTTGTTCTCTAGTCAATATGGGAATACAAATGAAGGTCTGTGGTGACATGGCATTACAGTAGTTGTGCTGGTCAGACTTGTTTAAGCTCAGAGACATGAGCACTGAGCTTACTCCAATAGTGGACTTATGATAATGCCAAATGTAAGAGATATCACTGAGTTGATTACATGAGAACTGAACAGGTGGCTAATGGTGTGGTTTTGGCCCTGGGTATATGACCTAGTGGTTGAGTGGCTTTTCCTTGCTTATTTACATTTGTGTGCAGTGTTTTGAAGCATCACACACTACTATTGAAACATTTGGGGTCAGTTCATTAATTTTAAAGAAATTATTTTCTTCAGCAAGGATGCATTATATTGATCAAAAGCGACAGTAAAGACATTTTTATAATGTTACAAAAGATTTTTATATCAAATAAATAATTATATTGAACTTTCTATTAGTAAACGAATCCTGGAAAGAAAATGTATCACTGTTTCCACAAAATTTTTAAGCAGCACATCAGTTTTCAATATTCATAATAATACGAAATGTTTACTGAAGACTAGAATAATAATGCTGAACATTCAGGTTATTGAAATTTTTATATCATAGGAATAAATAACAGACTTCAAAAACATAAAAAAAAAAAAAAATCTTACTGACCCCAAACTTTTGAACAGTATAAATGCTAAACATTATGTAGGCTAACTAATCACTAATTGAGTTTTCGGTTTCCTCCTGCAGTGGTTGATGTAGCAAAGCAAAAAAAAAATCCTGCTTGGATCATCACATCATAGACTGTGCACTGACAGCCCTTTAGTGATTGTTGTGGATACTGTTGCAATGGCAGGTTGATGTTTAGATGTCGTATCTGCATTTCTGCTAAAAATAGCTTCATTTTGGCACCGGAGGTGTTCTAAGCAGCAAAGCAGAATATGAACATTTTACTTCATTAAGTGTAGGCAACAGAAAGTCTGAGGGCACAAGTTGTTATAGACATACTTTAGGTTTGAGTTGAGTTGTGGCTGTCTGGGATGCATCAAGATTCTCAGGACACAACTCTTCTGTCCCCACTTGATGTCAAAATGAGATTAAAGTAAATCAGATCTGCAGTGGAATCTGGTAAACAGTTTAATGAACTTGAACGGTGTTTCTGTGTGTCACCCGTCAGAGAGTTTAGGTGCCACTAGTACAAGTACACAGAGATTTGAGAGGGCTGGCAATTAAGCTTTTGAAGGGGCACCATAGACTTGTCAGGGTTGTTTGACAGGAATGAAAACGAGGTTTTGAGGGATAGAAGTACACTGCATTCAATGGATTGTGGTGTTTAACTA